CCTTGATAGATCAATCGACATTCACCTGTGAGTCAGTGCCTGTAATGTGCAGTGTGAAGCTCGGCGATACTCACATCACTGAGTAGTCCTGTTTTTGTCGAATCAGTCAGTCGCTTCAACAATAACATGTCCACTGAAAGTGTTGTTGTGCAACACTGAATACTCGCTTGATTGCGTGGTCATCAGATCAAGATATATGTATTCGCACGGGATCGATGCCTGGCACATCACTTTTTGCATCGCGATTGTATATGCTGCTCGCACAATGCCACCATCCATCTCCCATGTCGTCCACACGCATAGAATCAAGCTCACGTGCACAAACTTTCCTAACGCCCTCGCATGTTTCGTTTTATTACAAATTACTGAATTATTTGATTCCTTTTTCACCTTTATGTTTGTATCTTTTCAATTAATATATGCGTCGGCCTCGTGTTTTTGAATTTTTTTGGGTATTGTCAATTTTTTCGTTGATCTTCTTCCGTCTCCCTCGTCACGAAATTCAATGTAAATCTGTGTGAACGTGGTTTTTCCGAGTCCATTAAAGCGCAATTAAACGTGTGCCCATTTTGTCGCATGACGTTATCCCATGCTGGTATTCTATAACGAACGACAATTTTCTATTCACCCTGTCCAACGATGACTGATGGCAATATGTTCTTTTTGAGTACAACGTTGGTTCGGTGCACGGGATCGTGACGTTGAAGATGTCTCTTCTAATGCATTATATTAGTATTTGTTAAGAATAAATGATTGTCGGAGCACAGTTGCAGCAGAAGATCACCCTCATCTGTTCGCTGAGCTGAAATGCCAAAATAACCACATAAATATCTTTTTGTTCGGTTTATGCTACCTACCTGGGCATTAAAGTCACCTGTTATGAGTACTATGTTTGAGCGTTTAGCTTTCTGAAGAAGTTTAGAAAGCTTTCTGTAAAATTCATCTTTCACTTCATCCGAGCTGCAGTCATTGGGAGCGTATGCAGAAACGACGAAAGGCGACGACGTGTGTCCCTATCCTTCCGAGTTCATACGCAGCTGTCTAGCTGAACAGCACATAGACGATCGTTAATGGGGATCCACGATAATAGTCCTTGTTCCGCCCTTGTGCTTTGTGATATGCCTACACCTACACTAAAAAGAAGGACATCTCGTCAAGATCCCAAAGAAAGGAGATCTGAGCAAATGTGAAAACTACAGAGGTATTACACTACTATCAGTACAAGGGAAAGTCTTTAACAGAGTGTTGCTGAATCGGATGAAAGACGCAGTAGACGCTCAACTTCGAGATCAACAGGCTGGATTCCGTAAGGATCGGTCGTGTACAGACCGAATTGCGACACCACGGATCATCGTCGAACAATCAGTTGAGTGGAACTCGTCACTATACATCAACTTCATTGATTATGAAAAGGCGTTTGACAGTGTAGATAGGAGAACATTACGGAAACTTCTTCGACACTATCGAGTCCCTGAGAAGATTGTCAATATTATCCGGAACTCATACGACGGACTACAGTACAATGTCGTGCATGGAGGACAGCTGACAGACGCATTCCAAGTAAGGACCGGAGTCAGACAAGGCTGTCTACTCTCTCCCTTCCTCTTTCTTCTGGTGGTCGACTGGATTATGAAGACCTCGACATCTGAGGAAAAACACCGAATACAATGGAAAGTTCAGGACCAATTAGACGATTTGGACTTCGCAGATGACCTAGCCCTCTCATCCCATACACACGAACAAAAACAGATAAAGACAAACAGTATAGCAGCAGTTTCTGCATCAGTAGGTCTCAACATACACAGGAGGAAAACCAAGATCCTCAAATACAACACGGAGAACAGTAATCCAATCACTTTTGACGACAAAACTCTGGAAGATGTAGAATCCTTCACGTACCTGGGAAGCATCATCGATGAACAAGGAGGATCTGATACAGACATAAAGGCGAGGATTGGAAAACCAAGGGCCGCATTCCTCCAACTGAAGAACATATGGGACTCAAAACAACCGTCAACTAATATCAAAGTCAGAATCTTCGATACGAACGTCAAGGCAGTTCTGCTGTATGGAGCTGAAACTTGGAGAACTACTACAACCATCATCAAAAAGTACAAGTATTCATAAATATTTGTCTACGCGAGATACTCAACATTCATTGGCCGGATACCATCGGCAACAGCCTTCTCTAGGAGAGAACAAACCAGCTTCCAGCTGAAGAGGAAATTAGGAAAAGACGACGGAAATGGATAGGACATAAATTACGCAAATCATCAAACTGCACCACGAGGCAAGCCCTGACTTTAAATCCTGGGGGGAAGCGGAAGGCCAAAGAACACATTACGTCGGAAAATAGAAGCAGATACGAAAAAGATGAATAACAACTGGAATGGACTGCCCAGGACAGGGTTGGATGGAGTAACAGGCGTAATTAAGTAAGTAGGTGTCAGTCCACGAGAACTAGCCATCGGGTCGCCAGATACACAGAAAGTGGATCTCATCAGGCTCTCCGTTCTGGCGAGGTGAGGTCATGTGAATGACCACATTAGGACCCTGTATGCATATTTCGGAGACACAGCATACATCAATGGTTTTAGCCATGGAGACCTGTTGGCCGATTTGATACAGGGTGCTTACTTTGAAGGCTCCAATGAGTAGTTTGGAGCGAGGTTCCAGTAGACCTGGGACAGTGTTTCGCGCACTAGAATTGCTGGATAAGGTGATACTCGAAGAGGAAGCTAGAATAGGTAGTAAGTGTTGAAAGTTGATGTAGGAGAAAAAATAGGAAGTGAAGAGGGAGGTTGATTACGAATACTGTGGCCATGAGTGCTGTTAGAGGTATGAGGGCGGTTATCACTTCCCGGTTGCCCACACTATGGGTCGATCTTTTTTAAACCCACCCCTCCTTGTGGGAAGGCAACATCGCTGTCATGCTAGTTGTCTGAAAGAAAACCCTACTACCGACACACCTCTGTATAGTCAGCAGTACGACGTCTCCCTCAGACCTTGGTTATGCTGCTTCTAGTCTTTCCACCCTTCAAATGACCTGTCTAGCATGGTAGAACCTTGATGAACAATTGTTCCAACCAGTATAGCTCGATTGGTTCATCACGATAGACAAGCCCGACCACCACGACAATGTAGCAATAAATGTCATGAATGAATGTTCTAATTTGTTTTCTTCCGTTTTTTTAAAAAAATAATCTTTTTAACTCCCTATTTTTCTTTCTTTCAGTTTTCTCAACTTTTTCGATTTTCTATCTTATGAGTATGAACTGAATTTTTCCTAATTAATTATTTATGGATTGAATTGGTCCATTCATTTTAGGTCACATTTATTTGTTTCTTTCCATTTATTAATAAATACTATCAAACTTTCAATTCTAATAATTAATTTCAATTTTGTCATTATATAAATGTGATATCTAAATAATTATTTTTATTTAATTTCATAATGATGAATAGGTTACCTATCGAATTCTATCACCCTCTTAAGTACAAATGTCATGTTTGACATATAGATACAGAAAGTTTCTAGAAATCGTTTGTTTGTTTTTTTGTTAAACATATTAAACTATTTTGAAAGTTTCATCATCTGTAAAATTAAAAAAAATTTTCTAAAGGTCAAACAAAACTTATATATTAATATGGAAATATGAAGATTATTAAACCGATCTAAGTTGGATAATTATTAAAGACCTGAAAGTACTAGATAGTTGTTTCGAATTGATCTACGACTCTTCAGTAATAAGTATTCACAACTTCTTAATTGGAAGTCAAATTCAGAACTTTTCATCCCACATATGATCCTTTCTATGTTCATAATGAATATTTGATTTAAATCAGTTTGTGATTTAGATAAATTTTACTTGATTTCCAGACTAACGAATATAATTGTTAAAGATGCACTTTCTTGTCATTTGATCAAACGATGTATTTGTCAGGGCATTTCAGCATGTACTGTAATATTTTTTTTTGAGAAATGCATTATTTGCTAAATATTTAATCCAATTTAGTCAAAATATAGATTCCGTTAGTGACTACCACTTCAAATTTCTTAATTGTGCAAATACAGTTGGATCAACCGCTATAAAATTCGTATTCTGTAAGGGTGGTTCTTTAGGATACATTAAAAAGTGTACAAATACACACATGTTCAACTTTAACATTTATCGGTGTAATAAACGTTTAACTTTTCTTCATGATCGTAATACTTACGAGCTGAGTCGTGAGTAGTTTCTGAGGTGTAGTATAAATTTGTCTGAAGAATATATTGCTCTATGTTTACTGGAATATTTATTATTGGGTTCCTATTATAAACAGTTTACCCAAATATGGGTCCAAATTACCTCAGAAAGATGATTGAACTAAAGGATGACCACAAGAAGTAATCCTTTCAACAAGTAATATCATATTAATAATAAACTTCAAGTCACTAGTCAAGAACTCAATCATAATTGGTCAACTCAAAAAAAAGCATTAAATTACAACAATACCGAAATTGCCCCTTGATTATACAGGATAATCCTATGATACTTTTCAGGCTAACTGAAGGCAGCCTGCTTGAATATCTGGGCTACCTGTTCCTCCGATCTAGATATTTCATCAAGTTATCTGTTTTATTGTTTGTTTTAGCACATCATTATGTCTATTGTGCACACAATCTATTCAGGCGCGTTTATGAAAAGTTTACAACCTTTCGCTATACGGGATACAAAAAGGTACAATCAACGACATCATGGTGGCTGGCAATATGCATTGAAACGAATGAACATTAATCAAATGTGGATTACCGGACTCCTAACATCTAACTGGTCATCATTCAAAATTTATCGTCACAATAGATCAAGGTATAAGAAGAGGAAACTTGTTGAAATACTTTATGCTGAGAATTCCATGTTGTACCAAAAATATAATGTTGAATAAAGCTTCTAATAATAATAATAACAATAATCTATTTATATTTTTTGGTTAATTTTTCAACGAATCTTTTCCAACTTCTTCATATATTTAGTATTATACCTAATTTATATTTCCTTCCTACTGATATCTGTTTAAAAAAGTGTCAATCATAATTTATTAAATTATTTTAGAAATAAAAAAGAACACCTTTTTTGTCAGAAAGAAAAGATAAAATTAAACAAACCAACAAAATGTATTACAAAAACAACATGAAATCCATGTCAACACTTCCTTTAATCCATCAAATAGAATTTTCTTTGAACTGTTTGGTTACTTACATGTTTACATAATGTAAACATACACTACACACATACACATACCTCTTTCCTTTCCTTATTATATGTATATAACTTAAACGACCTTTTATATTTTCTATATGAATAACTAAATAGAAGATTTTATCAATTCTATTATTAACTATGATTATTATAATTAATGTTACAGTTTGCCATAATTAAAATTAATACTGACAATGATAATACTACTACTACTACTAATAGTAGTAGCAGTAATAGTAATAATAGTAATAATAATACTAATAATAACAATAGTAATAATAATAGTAACAGTGGTAATTGTATTAACAATGATAATAGTAATAATACTGATAGTAACAATACTACTACTGCTACTACTACTACTACTACTACTACTACTAATAATAATAATAATAATAATAATAATAATGGTAATAATAATAACAATGATAAGAGATTGATTTAAGAAACAGTAATTTTTAACAACAAAAAAGAGAAGCGCAAAACAACATCGTGATACATTAACAAAGAAAATCAGAATAATAATAATAATAATAATAATAATAATAATGTTATCTCAACATGTATCGTAATAAAAGGAAATACATAAAAGATGAATAAAATAGATTTAAAAGAAAACAAAACGCAATAAAATCATTTTACTAAGAATGTAAGTAAGAATAGGTAGTGGTTGGAGATACATCATAAACTAATTGTAAGATAAGTGAGCATTAAGGACAATATGAGAGATTGAATTTAGGATCTAAATGGCTTGTAACGAAGTCTAATTTTATAGATTGTTGAATATTCATTCAATGGTTTACATTTTTAGGCTTAGTTAAGAATAGTGAAATTTAATGATGTCGAATGTAAGATAGGTAATCAATTATCTATGGAGATGGATTTAAGTCAAGTAATATCGTAGATTGATTGGAACTTGGAATTTTATAATAAAAGGTGGTACAGTAACATAAATTTTCCACTAAGCTTTAAATTAATTCTTCTAACAGGAGATTTAAAAATAAACTAATTCATTAATTTATCTACTGATTCATGTACTCTTCAAAAGTAGATTATATTGTAGTGAACGAGAACGCAAGTGGAGACAATCGAATGTACCTGAATACAAAATTAAAGAACATCTTAGTAAAACCTGGGAACCATACAGTAAATACTTCATTTGCAAACAGTCAATCAATTATCTCAAAGTTAACTGTTCCTTCTAGAAAATGTCAATCAATCGTCTCAGAATTCATTGTTCTTTAGTCTCCATATCAATCATTCTCTGTTCTCTTTCTTTCGACCTTCTTAACCTTCTACCTTCAGGCATTTTAATTTCGAATGATGATATATACTACTTATATCTGTCGACATCAGTAGTACACACCACAATATTTGTTAAGACAGATAATGCTCTTTTGAGTTACTCTCTTTAGTCATTGACAAAATATTAATCAAACAACAGCTGAGTGTTTGAGATACTTAGTTGATTTCAATCACTTCTTAACAGTGATCTTAAAAAAACTACTTGCAAAATTAAACGAAGTGATTGAGTGAAGATCCAATACTGGTGCAGTTTGGATGCTCACAACACATCAATCGATGACAGAAATTTGTATTATGGATTTGCATTTAATGATTATAATCCTGATTGCTATTTTTTCGCATTCTCCTTTTGTTTAAACCCCATTAAACTTATACTTCAATGTAAAAACAAAAACAATTTACATATTGTAGGACAATATACTTGTCTTAATATATTTACTACTCCGTTGCTTTTTCATCCTTAAAGAATTCTTTACCAACAAAAAAACAATATGTTTATCAAAAGATAACTTTTTATATGCACCAATTATGAATATAACCTAAACGCTTTAGAAAATGGCATCCTGAAGTAGTAATTTTTGCGCTAAACTACTTTTGATTCTCTTAATTAAAACAATAATTGAATCTCAAACGATACTTGGCAGTGACTAACATCCTTGTTATTTCAAGCTGTACGTACTGACGATTCATCTTGAAACGAAATAAAAAACCATGATTTTACATGTAAACTGAAGTGAATTTCCAAATCTAATCAATGGTGAAAATAATGTCAGTTATGAATTATAAGCATCTAAAAATATAGATCATTGAAACCCAGTTACATCGGTGATAAGGTTAACAAGATAGTCCACTACTCTGTTTGATTCTCAATGATCATTCACTAGCTGAAATGTTATCTTACATGCTAACATATCAAAATAATGAAAAGGTAAATAATTAATTTTGATAACGTGTGATTGTGGAGACTTGGATTTCATGAACCGACTGGAATTAGATATAAACACCGTCGAATGCCAGTTCAGTTGTCTACATGTGAAAAGTCTTCGCGCAAAACCGAATATCCTAAATACGATTCAAACTTGTGGGTCGAAGATCGTCATTACTGGGAAGTTCCATACTACGACGAAGTGATCTTCCAGTAATTCCAAGTTTTTAATGCCGGTTTAACTAAGGTCAAACCATGGTTCTAATGAAATTCACACATGTAGAACCAACGAAATAAAGAGAATAGTTAATTGCCTCCAATTAACTTTTTTCTTGAAGACTATTGGAAAAGAAAGAAATTTAATAATTTTAGAGAAAATTATTAAGAACAACAACTTTAAGTATTGTTGAATAGTATCCAGTTATTTCAATTTAATCCATTTCTAATGTAGTCAGTCTAATCCATTGGTAATCCATGCCAATCTTCACATTCCAACTAGTATAATTCTATTCATAAAACCTTTTAAAATTAAAAAACAAACATAAACATTACCATTTTTATCTGATGGGAAAATATAAACAACATATGGGTGTATGACCTGGTAAAAATGAGGAATTAACAATGAAACATGAAAATAACATTGAATATACAGTTAGATACAATACAATAAACTATATTTATGGTTGTTATTTCATTATTCTTTAAATGATTAAATTGAAAAGAGAAAAAACACATGCATAAACAGTTAACTGAAATGAAAATCTGAAGGAAACATGTAAAATATGTGAGGAAATAAAGATCAATTGAGACAATATCACATTTGGATAAAAGGTGTAGAACCAGAAAAATTAATTGGGAATTTTATGATTGATTACGTCATAAATACTCTCTGTGTTTAGACGCCTTTGTTCTGTTTCACTCTTCCACATTTCAAAATTGAACTTCTCATCTCGATAGTGGAAAGCATTGTAATGATTGTGTTATGTTATTAGTTAACTGAATTGTTTTCCAAACATAAACAAAACTTATACTCTCTTTGTAAGATTAATGTGAATGGGAAAAGTGTTTAAATTATGGGAAGAAATAAAGTGTGTGTGTGTGTGACTTCATTCAAGTTCTACAGTGTTTATTAATTCACATTAATCTTTATTTTCACATAAACAAATTTGGTGAGAGTACACATACACATAATCGTTTTATTTTTGTCTGAGAAATATTTAGATGAAGAATAGATCAAATGAATGTGATCATCGTTTTTTCTTTTAAAAACTGTTAGTGATTCATTCACATGAAAATAAATATATTACATGGTTTAAATCATGAAAGGATCTTAGCCAAAATCATGACTGGAAAACTGAAAGGAGTGGATGACTGTTTTGCCGTAGTATGGGACTTCTCAGTAGATAAATTGATGATGCAAACTATGAGAATTCTACAATCTCTACGAATTTCCTCTATACAACAACTACTACTACTAATAATAATAATTATTATTATTATTATCTACTCACAAGTGACAAGCTTCAGAATAAAATTGCCGGAGTTCTAGTGAGAAGCTGTGGCTGGTTGAGTTATATCATGTAGTGTGTAAGCATGTTGTGGAACATCTTGAGTTCATTGAAGTTAGATATTTACACCGTTGGACGTCAACTAAGAAGTCATTAGATTGGCGTTCGCATCCGAGACCGAGAGTTTTAGATTCGATCATCAGATGCAGAGTCGAAGATGTGTACTGATGATGAATCCAATACTAGGGAGAGTGAGCCGTCCAGTGTTTCCAGGTTTTTAATATTAGTTCAGCTGAGATCAGTTTGTGTCTTAAGCTATGAAAATTCTACAATTTCCACAAATCCCCCTATACTAAAAGTAGATTATTTATAAAAAATTGTCCAGTTAAAACACACTGAAACACAAGCACTCTGTACATTACCATACAATGGTTGGACAGACATAAGCAGTATATAGCAGGAATCGGAAGTTGGATACTTACTAGCAGTAGAGTGAAATAAAGGGAAAAGGAAAGGAAACGGATGACGATCGGAATTAGAACAGGATCGGAAGAATGGTGAAGTATGTACAGAAAAACTGAGGGAAAACATGCAATTTACGTATTGAATGTATGATTTCCATATTTTAATAAGCTACAATATAATTCTGCATTAAACAATAAATTAGCTTACCGCACCTGAGCTTTTGATCATTACAATACCACTTGATTATATCATAAGCAAAACGAATAGCCGAAAACATTTTTTTTTACATAAAGCATGGGTTTTACTCAATCAATCATTGAAAACTACAATAGGTTAGTTAGTTCGTGTTAGTATAGTGCATTCACAAATTTATATGGTAATAGAAACTCTAAATTAAATATCCTCAAACTTCTGGTAGCAACAGAACAATCTATGTTTTTTTTAATTTTAAAAATAAATAAAATTGTGAGATTTTATTTTTAAATTTTCTTTTAAGTGGGTGTTTTATCAAGATTGGCTAACTTCGAATAAAGTTTTCATGACAGATGAATATCAGTTGGTGAATCACTGAAAGTACATCCAGTGTGTTTATTGATCTCTTAGCTAACATAAAATTTTTTTACAAAAAATTGTTTCTTCTAGATTTTCATATGCATACTATATTTATAAAAAAGTACCTCCAATGGTATATACGCATACAAAAATCTACTACCAATTCGTGCTACACAATCTAAGAGCCTTAATAATTCATTGAAATAAGAACACATGACGAAAATATTTTTCAAAGATGTATGATTTGCACACACAAATATATATATATATATATATATATATATATATACATAACAAAACAATATGACTAACCTGTTGATGAATATAAGTAAAGTACCAGCAATCGTTCATTTATAAACTATAATTCATTTTAATAGTTCAGATCATGAGGCAATTCAAGCTAGACTACCATGGAAAACCTAGAAGCACTGGACGACTGTTTCGTCTTATTGTGGGACTCCTCAGAAGTGCACATCCATGATCACGCCTCGCGAAGCTCGAAATCAAGACCTATCGGTCTCGCGTGAGAACGTTTAAACTCGAGACCACTGAGCCGGTACTCAACGGTGTTGATATCTAACTTCAAGTAATCCATAATTCATCCATCAAAATCTTTAATTTAAATATGATAATATATTGTTTTGCCGAATACTACTATTGCTATTACAAAACCTTGACATAGTTAAAAACTCTGACTTAATCTTATAAATTTTTCAATGTACCAATAAGAAAATTAGTATCATTATTATTCAATGTAACAAACCTCATTAATTGAAATTAGACATAAATCATATGACTGTATAATAAGTAGAACAATGTCTTCATTAGTACACCTATTAAAAAACGTTATGATTGTTACTTATAAACACATTAATAAATTATAATAATTAATCGTTAACTACATACTAGTATCAATCATATGAGAATGATTGATACAGGTATACTAAATGAAACTGATATGGTTGTAGCTTTCTTCTCCTTTATTCGATACAGTCAAATTTCCGACATTTATCATTGGAACACATTCAGCGTTATACAGACCGAGTTCAGTTATGAGCAATGAATTTAGGACATAAATATATATAGAGAGAATAACAAGTATATTTTTTTAGCTTCTAAAAGTAGGATACTATAGTAACACGTTGCTTTTCATCAGGAAGTTCACTAAAAACGATAAGGTATTTAAGATGATAACAAGGGATCTTAACAAGGACTGAAAAACAACGAGAACAAAATAAAAATATAGTAGGATATAAAATGACACAACTAGAGAAAACGTAGACAAACTACAGCATGAACAAGACTAAACTTCATGACTATCCAAGGTCTAGGAGATAATGAAAGATGAATACACACTATTTTTGTTGTCGAAGTCGAATTCGGGTTGAACAAGTTACGATTAGGAGGTCAGCGCCTTGTAATACAGGCTCCGACCAACAAGTAGCTTCATCAACTGATTTCATGATGCAAACCTGTAATAAGTGACACTGAATAATAAAGTATATCTGACAATAAATTAGAGTTTTCTTAATATTGTATATATATATATATATATTGGTGAAAACAGAGAAATAGATTTCTACTTAATTCACCTAGTCGGTCAAAAAGAGATGTTCATAACTTAAATATACAACAAAATAACATTCGTGTTGTCGGAAGTTCATAAATATCCCTCTACAAAGTCACTTTAAGTCTAGAAAGGGTCAAAAATTTTCGTCCGGTCGGCATCACGCTGAATAATTACCTACGTTAATACTGCATTCGGAAGTCTACGGAAGTTTCTAGAAGATCAAGGTCACTAAAAAAACCCGACAAGTGAATCCGATTTTATGCATATCAATTCAATTTAAATTGAAGCTTCTACTCATAATTCGCGCCTTTTTCCTATTATACGATTTTAAGTGTAGATATAGAGTCTAGAGAAGTATTTAGAAAGTCGGTTACAAGTGATTAATTAGAAGATTTACTGATGTATATAACTAATTACCAATGAAAAATTCGAATCAAGATACTACTAATCCATACCACAGATTATTAATATTCGCCCTTAAGAAAAACCTAGTCGACTTTGTACAATTCCAACCAATTAAAACATCATTAAACTGTCACAAGTGTAATTATTATCCATCATTTACCACAAAAACCAATAAGAAAACAAAAGGAGACAGTATGTTTTGTCATCGTTATAGTAAATATTTGCATATAATTTTACATTTCCTTTGGAATGTAATAAAATAATACTGTTCAAACATAAACTGTAATACACATAAAACTAAGCACAAATATATTAATTTATTTATTTACAAAATGAAGAATAACATGAAAATTCATTTATTTATCTTTCATCTTTTACAACAAACTTTTCTCTGTATAACGAACATTAATTCTAGTTTGTAATTCTTTCAACCAACATTGATCTATTTCTTTATAACCTATTAAAATGGGACGTATCGATGATGATAAAGATGACTGATCGATACTACTACTACTACTAGTAGTAGTAGTATTAGCAGTATTAGTATTGTTTGCTGTATTCTTTCCACATTTTACAATATTATCATTGCATGTTTGAATTGTAATATTGAATAAACCGCCTAAATGTGATAAAAATATTTGGAAATTTGTTAATGCTGTACGTAAACGTTGACGATGTTTTTGTGCCTAGTAGTAGAAATAAAAGATAACAATACATAAAATGAGAATACTTAAGCAGATCAGTAGTATGAACAATATTACTATTATTGCTTTGAACTATTCTCACATCATTGGTTAATAATAATGATAATAAAAATTGGAGAATAACTAACACAATAGAGATGGTGGAGAAGATTTAAAGCTCGGGTGGATGATTTCGGTGGAGTTTTGTTCTTTGAGCTGGATGGTTTGGCCGTAGAGATGTCGTTCAGAAAAATAATGAAAGCTCCACGACCAAACCATCCACTTCATAGAACAAAACTCCACCAATAACACAATAGAACAACATATAAAACACAAACAAACAAGAAAATAAATTATCGTAACCAATGAAAAACTTATCTATAAAATTATATGTATAGGAATATATTGACAAGATGAACAAATTAAATAAATATAAAGCATGACAGTGATGAAGGGGAAAAGAGTAGAAGAACATAATAACACTTTATTTAAGTAAATTTGACATTTACTTCCTGGTACAAAAATCGGTCACGCAATCATTAGAAAATTAAAAATAATAATGAGGATAACATTTAGCTAGTTAAGTTAATTTTTCTCTTTTTCACACGGTCTTTATGTTTAATATTAAAGTTAAAATGATAATGATAAATGTATAAAATGAAAAGAAGTTGTTCCTTTCGCTGTTTTTCTCATCTTTTTTCCTCTTCTCTAAGATACACAGAAGTCAAAGAATATTCAATTTTCAATAAGTCTTGAATTATATACACATATTTTATTACTATTATTAGCTCTGCCTGTAGCTCTTCTAGAGCAACTGTCAGTTTCAAGCCCAGATAAAGGAAGAGAGTTGGACATAGGGTCAGCATCTACATCTTGCAGAAAATAACTTTGGTAAATAAACACTAACCAAATTATTATTATTATTACTATTTATAATAATAATAACAGTAATAACAGTCCACGACTCGCAATATCATAAACAATTGTAACATTGTGAGCAATATTTATATGGATTTCAAGATGAAAACAAATTCAATCATTAATGAGAGATTATACAAATCCTGTCTTATTGAGCAGTCACTTTGAAACTGTCCTATTATGATGCCTGTGTATTAACCATAAGGACAACTGATATTTAATTTTTTAATTAACAGATGACTGAGACTAAGAACTCGAACGTATATGTAATAAATAAGTAATATTTAATTGAATTTGTAAATAATCATTAAGTAACAGATGAAAAATTAATTTCTATAATAATAAGGTTTTAGCTTAACATTTTATTGATATTCGGGACTGAATTCTGATCATTTCTTCATTTTGATGTATGTTATCCTATGCGGATTATCTTGACATAGTCACTTGAAACAAAGATTGTTTAAAATAGATGAATTATGGATAACAGTGGAAACCTAGGAATGTGTATCATCCTATTTGCGACTCGTCAGCTGAATGTACAACGACGGGATAGTTTAAACTCTTAGTAATAACGATATAAACACGTCATGTGTTGAAAAAGTCAATAAAAATCTTAACTCAGTACAGGATTCTATTCCTGATGTGAGCATTAAGACTAGAGTGCAGATATATCAAGCTCATAACTCGTAAATAAGATGACACATACTTCCTGAATCTTGCTTTTAGCCGAATCTATTGTGTTACAACAATTATTTCTGTTAAGAAATTTGTGAAGATTAGTTTGTTTACACTAGACATGTGCTTCACGGATTGTCATTCGATAAGGTCATCCATTGAAGATCATACAGAGTTGAACAGAACTTTTACTTTAATCATGATCTCTCTAGCAGTATACATCTCCATTGCAATAGGGATTAAACCCAGGACGATCCACAAACAATTAACTTTTATACCATCGTATTGGGATTCACTGATCTAATTCTAATTCCAACCAACCGGTTAAATAGCACGACCATTATAAAAACCCACTGGTCCCAACTACCTTACTTTTCAATACGGACGGACTGTCATGCCATGTAATTATAACTCTTAAAGCTATAAATCTATTAATCCAAAATTCCTACAAATTTGTTTTAATAATCATTTATCCTTCACAGTTTTTTCCTGGAGTTATCGATCAAAAATGTAACGTCTCTAAACGATGGTAGTATATATAAGGAAATGTGAACAGTATCCCTTACTAACTAATCACATAATAGTCAAGTTAATTCACAAAACTACACTCGTAATTCGTCTTTAAAATACTAGTATAAAATGAACTTATTAAGCTTTTTCAACAAATAATGTCACTGTTGTTATTTGTTGTCAATTCGTAGTAGTTAGATTTCAACTGACTACACTATACTGAAATATGAAGTCAGGTATTTAAAACTAGAATGATTTTAATTGGATGATACGATTTTCGATTATGATGTGGTAGTTCATAGTGAAGGGATACTATCACCTTTCACCATTGTCCTGATTCATCAATGAAGTTGGGTAGGGTCGCCCAATCTCATTGTTCCTCTTCAACTTTGTCATCGATGATATTCTGGAAACAGCAATGATTGAAGTATGTTGTGGTGTGGAGAGAGACTTTTCAATCTTGAATATGTAAATAATACTGCCTTATACTGTGATGACACAAATAGTGTAAATTCCACTTGATCAGGTGCCGTAAGAGTGACATGCTATTCGCATCTTCTAGATACAAAGTATTTCCCCAATAATGACAGGGGTATATGTCTGGAAACACTCTCCGTAGTGATGCACTGGAAGTAGTTGAGATATTCGTGTATTTGGGTACAGTGAAAACCAGAGTGCCTTATCAGTCTGAACAGCTGCTTTGGAGTCATCGTTTTGTTCCATGCATTTGAAACCCAGACTCTCAGGGTTAAGGATGATTAGCTACTCATTGTGTTCCGTCATCGTTGTCTTCCAATGCCATTCAATGGCAACATCATGTCAGTAATACTCAGTTTTGGCAATGAGTATTCTGATAATTCAATTGTTGTGACCATTTTTGAACATCGGCTTCGGAGCCCCGGATATGTTTTGTACGAATTTCATCCGAATAGCTTCTACATCGGGGAACAATTTCCGATTTCGGGACTGGGTAGAAAAAAATGGTCATTTTATAACATGGCGTCGGGGTACAGAAGAAAACTGTGTTCCATTATGACTATGTGATTGGAGTACGAGAGATGGTGTGACAGAGTGAATTGAGATGTTATGAAATGAGGCTCAGAAGAGAAACCAGTGGTGATCCTGATATAGTTTCCCTTTACTTACAGTATAGGCAAAGGAGAACATCTTTCTTAGCTGTGTATCTTTTAAATTAAGTGCAGTTCTTACTAAATATTTTTATTCCCTCTTGTATTTCTTTATAATCCTATTTATTTGGTTGGTGTAGCGCATAACTTTATGTAATTAACAAAAATAACACTGGATTACTGTCTACAACACAGTATGAAAATATCTATTTCGTCATAACTCAAACAATAATAACATGGAGTCGTTTGTTTCGTATTTTTATGAAACGCTGGGAGATAATCGTTAGAGCATGGGAAGATAATAAACTTATAAGCAAACTTTCAGTAAAAGGCGTTTTTTGAAGATTGTAGAATTTCCATAGTTTTAGATTACAAGCTGGTGGTTTAGAGATTAAATGTCCGTGTGCATGAGACAGAAGGTCCTGAGGTCGATTCCCAGTGGTGAGGATTTAGTGTGGCCCTTTATCTGACTCTAATTAAATCGTGTTATGATTGTCATCGAAATACACATTCTGTCTACCCTCGCATATAATTATCGACTTAACTCGCGTTAGTGAATAACGGAATTAAAATAAGTCAAATACGAGAATAAAGTTTGAATACGCTCATTGGTTTGGATAAACAATCAGGGAAACGCAGAGAAGAGGAGAGAGAGAGAAGGAAACCGAAATGACGAACAATGGAGGAGAGTGAGCCAACTCCATTTTATCAATCGTGACTCGATATTTATAGTCAAACAAAAATACAGACACATAATGAATAAGGTAGGTAAATAGCACACATACACTCAAATAAAAACCGTTAAGGTTAATAAGCGAATAAGTCACAAGGCAAGAATGTGGCGGTCTATCCAGAGGCTAGAAAAACCTATGTCAGCTTAGCATAGTACCAGCCACCATGGGGTTACAGAAGTGCAATAATGAGGGGACCCATACTAGAATGAAAACCTAGCCAAAACGTCCTGCTTTCAATGGTGCTCTAGCTAAGACCAGTTTGCAATTTGAAAAAATAATCATTTTTCAGTAAAGCATCAAAAACAAGTGTAGCAGAATAATATAACAATCATGGAGATAAAATGATGAATGAATATTTCATTATACTCTCACAGCAACGTTTTAAAATATCATTATCGAGTAGGGAAAAAACGTTTCGAATCACCAGACTGGATGAAAAAAGAAAATAACACTCACCTCTTGAAGTGCAAGTGGATTCGAAGAATCCGAGTCAATTTTACTCAATCGTCTTAATGATTCACTTTCACTAGGAGTTAAACCAATCCATTCAGTTAGTAAGTCTGAAGCGACATCTAGATCAAGAATTGCACTACCATCTGTAATTCGCACAGCTAGTGTCCATTTAGTACCATTATGATGTTCTAATGATGACAACAAACTAATAAGCAAACCACGAATTGTGTAAACAGTATTTATGGAGGCTGAACCATTACTACTATCTTTTGTTTTAAGTAGTTTATCATATATATCCTACAAAAGATTATGATGAAACCTAATCAGTATTACCGATAATACAAATGAAAGTTTTTATTTAAAAAAACTGTTAATTGAAAAAAAATTCAACCTCAGAACAATCAGTGAATATGTAATGTTAATATATCTTTTGAAAATAACTGGAAATTAAATGAAAATGAGAAAACACTGAGCGAATGTTTCGTTGCAATGAGATTTATCAGATATGTGCATCTACAATATGGTTATACACTGAGTTGAATCACTAACACTTCCTAATTTCATCTACTCCGAAATCGATTGAAAATGCCATTACATGCTCTCAGTGAATTAACTTGGGATTTATCGTCCGCATGTTTCTCCTACATGATGATACACTATGTAAACGATCATACTTCTTTCTTCAGATAAGTCAATATTAGGACTCACAATATTCTGATAAAAAGCCATCTTGAAACATTTTTCAAGTATCGTTTTCTGAAATTGTAGTGAACTTCTGTGGAAGTTTGACTTTTGGTGGCTAACCAACTTCATGGGTTGCTTTTGGAGAACTAGATAGTATCACCAACCTATGTTTTGTTATGAATAAATGTTGATTCTATCGAAACATTCGACTACACGACTAAGATACGCCTGAAATCAAGGTTCAAAACAACGATTTATGTAAGAAACGATTCTCAACTCGTATGGTATCGGTTTCGGTTAACGTATTTATATGTATGAAAAGAAAAATACTTCGATGATGTAAACGACAGCCGGTAGCTGTGACTAAAGTCGATAATGACTATCAACAATCAGAACCAGGACTAAGACCACATAAACAAATAAATTATCAAGTTCAAACGAAAATTCGAGGAATACAAAAAAGCAACTAAAAATAACAGTTACAAGGGTTGAGATGATGTAATGAAAATAATGAATAAAGTAAATGTCTTTAGTTAATGTAAGTACATTAGGATATTAGATATTACAAATTACTTCAACTGATTACTGAATATTAGCAAGTAGTATAAAGCGATGCGCGAAAATGTGTAAATGAGAACACAGAATCCATAATTAACATTAAGTTAGTTCAGATTTTTCAATGTGATGATGATTAACTTGATAGGCTGACTTCATTCAAATGGAAATTTAGATATAGCGAACAATATGGATGTTGCGTCTTCACACGAGGCTCTAAAGGCTGTAAGTACCTACAAATCAGCTATAAGACCAGGGACTTTCAAGTCTGTTATTCATGAAGATAATTGATAATCTTTGGGAGTAACATTATGAGTTGATCAAAGTTAAAAATACGAACCATTAAGCCACGTGATGACTGAAGATCTTCGTCTCAATCCTATACTAGTTCATTAGTGAGAATAACTGAGCAGTTCCAAATTAGGATGGGAATCACATGGCTTCAGGATTATCAAAGCATTAAAACTAAAGGGAATACAATGAATGTTATACAGTGCTACGCACCTACCAGTGATAGCAGCAAGGACAGAGACCAGTTTTATGAGTGGCTAAGGTAAAACCTAGTCGTCTTGATGGGGGACCTATACGCCAAAATTGAGATGGACAGCGCTAAACATGAACGCACTATGGGGCAACACGGAGTGGGAGAAAGGAACTAGAATGGAGAGAGAGTGGTAAATCTGTGTATTTTCAACAATATGGTTATAGATGGGAACATTTCCCTCCGCAAATCCATACATAAAACTACATAGATTTCACTAAACCACACTACAGGAAACAAAATTAATCATATCTCGATCAATAGAAACTCAGGAGGTCCATGAAAGAAGAACAAAGAGATAAGCTGATATAGTTTCAGACCAGTTTAGAAGACTTATCAATTTCAAAGTTAGATTATATAAGCAAAGACGAGGATACTTATAGAGCTACACAAGACTTTGGGCTTCTGGAAATTTCTGGGGCCACACAAAATATAATGGCAGTATAAGTAAACAAACAATTAGAAGCGTGCTGCGTGATTTCGCAGTTTATAGACGTATCTGCGAAGATTCCATTCAACGCTGATTACGTAAAACGTTTCCTGGCCACTATGGGCCTCTAGGGATTTTGACGAAGGATACTTTGAGACTCAGCTAACAAGAAGTGAAAGTTTCCTCCAGAGGAATTATCATATAGCATTATTCGTATTAAAAATATTAGTTAGTTACATCATTTAAAACTAAGGGAATAATTAAATAATTTTGTTTAAACTAAGTGAATATTTGTTCGTATAAGACACCGTCAAATGGTTAACGAGGAATATATATGTTTTGACATTTGACAAGTACTTTAATAACCTAACTGATTCTCATCAACCTTCCTGTTTTTTCTTCAAACAACACCATAAGGAAAATAAATCACTTCAATAATTTTTTTGTTCAGTTTATTATTAGTCTAAACTATCCAACTGCTTAATATGTTTTTGAGTTAATTCACCTTTACAAGTTAATACTAGATAATGTTTGCAACACAAGCTTAGTTACCTTATTGTGTTTACTCATTAAAGTTGATAACATGTTAAGATGAAGATTTTTTTCTGAAGATTGAACTAACTGATTTGAGATAATACGAATTTGAAACAAAATGTTAACAGATGACAATTGAGTAACGATTTTACCAGGTACGCGATAGCTTCAATTTGCCAGTGAACACTTTATGAAAATGTAAAATATAAATTGTAGACAGTTTGTTACGTAATTGTATCTGGAGGTGGTTAAATGGTTAGGCTACCCAGCTTTCAACTTGTGGGTCGCTAGTTTTACCCTATACTTCACGTACTTTGGTTTCACTAGTCAGGTAGTCAAATTAGCCAACACAAACAACATGAGTCAGAGTTGAGTACGTAGCCCAGTAGTAGACAAATGACTTACAAAAATCAATCAATTTTAAGGCTGAAGGATTCCTTATTAGGATAAATCAGTCATCCAGTGCTCAGTGGTTTCGAATAATTTAAAATGAGATTAATCTTCACCACAAGTCAAATCAGGCTTGCAATTTTGAAAAGACAGAAATATGTAAGGGTTAACTTAGTCTAAACTCACTTGAATATAACAAAATGGATGAAAGTGATAATCAACTTCCAATGAATTGGATGACAGTTGTCTACTACTGACCATGTGTTTATCATGATTATCTTCTGTAGCCATTGAAACAATTTGATGGCTGGATGAAGATGCAAACTGTAGTATATTTTTAGATTTACTATTACTTCCAATAGTACTGTTTGTTTGTTTGAATTCCAATGTTTTACGTTTAGGAACTGGTGGCAGAAGATCTTCATTGTTGTCGATGTTAGTTTGTACTTTTTTGATGTCTGGTTTTACTGGTTCTGGTGAGAATGGTTCAGTCGGTTGAGGTTTAGAAGAAGAAGAAGAAGGGAGTGATGGATTATCATTCAGTTTATTCACTAATCGACTGCGTGACTGTAGCTTTAATAACGTTTGTTTCAAACTTTGTTTTGATTCTATTTGTGATTTTATCGGTTGACTTACTGTACTTGTTTTCATTAAAGTTGATGATAATGTGGACGAAGTTGCAGTTGTTTCGGATACATTTTTATTGGATTGAAAAATTCGCATCTCATTCCCTTTTAACTGATTAGTTTTGGGAAAGTTTGTAGAATTCATTGACTGTTGTTCGTCTATTTCAGCTAGAGCAGAAGCCAATATATCTGGATCGACTTGATCTTCTAAAAACGGATCATCGTTATCAATAGAAACATTGTTTTCGCTCTCATCAACAACACTGTGAGTACGTTGAAGACCACTAAATTTAGATTCATTTGACAGTCGCTCTCGTTCATCAGATATAACACTTGTTGGTAAACGAAGTGGATCATTGAACGAATGGACAGAACTTCGTGGAATCGATACACCTAGAAGTAATCATTATAAAAAATATTGATTTGATGTTCGTTATTTGTAGTAAACTAATCTCTAAGTTAAAATACAAAAGCAAGTTGGAAGACGACTGGGGTATAGTTAAACCACGATGTTGAGTCAGTCCATAAAGTCATTGACCATTAATGGGAGCTATATTTGAAAGTGCATTATTCCTATGGTCAGAAATTTTTCATAGTCATCCAAATGTATTTATCCTTTCTCGTTGTCTAGATCCTTCAACCCATTAAATTACTAATTCATACATTTATTTCACACTAGGTTTTATATGTTCAGTTTTCAAAAAGTATATTGTACAACTTGGCTTTTCATCTTATCTCTCTATCTCATTGTGCTCATACGAGATACAAAAACTCGGACTAATTCGAATTAGTGCTAGATTCAACCTTATATTTGATTGACTAGAATGAATTTGTAAAGAGCCTCTAGAGTAGTCCTTTTCTTATTATGACAGTATGATCATAAATATGTAATATTTAAAAATTCAACACTATAACAAAATCCCTAGGGTGTTTACAAAAAAAAGTTTCTGAGCCGGTCACTTGGACGTGATGAATCTATTTAGCTATGATAACTGATCATAAGTTTTCTCCTTAAATTACTTTCTAAGCAAGGCTAACTGTTGAAGAGAAAGCAGTTGCGATGGTTTTTTAAAACATGCTTACTTATAAGTAGTATTTAGTGTAAAGTTGAAATGAAAATTATTTTACCTTGAAGTTGATTGATTCATGTGATATTACATAGTTTTAAATCAATTCAAGAAATGAATTAAATAATAATCTCAGGTCACTCAAAAGAATTATTAGAAGGGAAATATTTACTAATAGTCGCAAACGTTCTATAAGTTAAATAATAAGAATTTTCATAGTTCAAGTCACGAACTGTTCTTAGCTAGACCACCAATTAAAACCACAAAGTATTGGACAATCATTCCGTCCATGGGACTAAAAGTTCTGGGTTCAATCTCTTGTGGTGGGGTTGTGGATGAGTATCGATGAAGAGTCCCGTACTAGGTTGAAAGTTGTGAAGTACTTCATAGTTTTTAATGATTGTTTGGATTAAATCAGTTCGTGATTTAAACTATGAAAATTCTGCAGCCTCCCACAAGCCCCATATGGCAATAATAAGAACTTGTTTGAACTTAGTACTTCCCTTATATATCAGATATCGGCGTGTATTGTGCTCCGCAGTAAAGATTATCAGTTGTAGGACGAATTTAATAAACTGAACTATTGTTAGGAGATAACTGTTATCGCTCAAAAAATCGCCTTAGTATGGGACTCTATTCAGAATTGCTTATCTACAACCCCTTCAACTCTGAAGGCTAAGTGATTCCCACAAGACCTAAATTTCTTAGATTCAATACTTGATGTGGTTGTGAATATCCACTGCTGAAAAGTCCCATACTAAGACCGTAAACCTGTCTGGCGCTTACTGGTTTCTAACGTCTGTCTAATTAAAGGCAGTCTATGATAATAAACTCTAAATTTGACAATCTCCACAAAAGTAATTATTACGAAAAATTATAGACTTAAAAATAAGCTTACCACTTCTACTACAATCTAACTGTTTCTCCATAGATTGAGCAGCATGACTCAATATTGCATCATCGAATATTTCATCATCCCATAATTCTGGAGAAACGCTACCACTGCCACCGACGACACCCCTATCACCAGTAGAAGCAGTACTCAATGGGTAACGAACAGAACTTAGTGGATCTCTGCCATTCCCACTGTTAGAAATGTTATTATCACGGTTTTGTTGAACGTCTCGTACATAATTAGACTGCTCATTGGGCACTTCTATACTGGGTAACAGATTATCACCAGCTGAGCTGCGTAACTGTCTAGATGATACACGAGGAAACCAAGACGGCAAGCTGTTATTTTCAGTTAATGGTATATTTAGTTTATTAGCCAATAGTTTACCAACCTCATACATAGTATTTTCTTCATAGTTTTCTAAGAGTTCATCAACCTGTACATAGTAGAAAGCAAATAAATACAACATCGTTTTACGTATTCATAATTTATTTTTATTATAGTTGAAGAGTATTTAAAACGATAATGACTGCAAATTTCAATAAATAATGACCATCTCAGATTTAGATGAAGTCACAATTGTGATAAATATGTACATAAGTTGGGTATTTAAGTTCAATATTGATTTCAACCATCCAAAATTAAGTCGCATAACAATTAATTCTAACATTGACTGACTGAAATTAAAATCGTAAACCGATCGATTCCGACTGAGAAGGAGGATGACATGTTCGACGAGGGACATGAGAATTCTGGTTTACATCAGTGAAAAGGTTACGAATCTACTTTGTTAAAGAATCTCACAGCGCGACGGAACGTTAATTGAGTATACCAATGTTTTCAATGTCTATCCTTGACAAAAACCCCATTCAAATTATACAAACTCGTTGTTATTTCCATTCACAGGTGGGGCTAAAGAAATAATGTGATTTAATGTAGCTCAATGTAGATTCATGTACAATGATTCGGAGTCGCAGACCTGTTATATGAGGGTTAATCGTTTGACTGTACGATGAGATTTCAATCTGTGGCCAAACTATCGTTTAAATGAGGTACATATAGTGAATTTTTAAGTGTAACGTAAATTTCTAAAGGTTTAAAAATTACCAACATTTTAAAAAATGTGATTTTAAAAATGTTATTTATCGGTAAAAGCTGTCACTTGTCACTTTCGAATCATGGTCTGGACTTCCAAAAATAGTAACGAAGTAACCCTACACTAATAAGATATCTAAGCTAATCAATCAGGGGGGTTGATTAAGATAATAGTAAGCAAAGAAGAGCAAATTAGCTAATATTATGATGTAAAGATTATGGCTAAGTATAAATTATATTTGGCGAAAATGGACTACTGATTAGACACTTAATGGTGTACATGTTTAACTTTAATCAACTCAAGATGCTCCACAACCTTCTTACACACTACATGATAGAACTCCACTAATCACAGCTTCTCACCAGAACTCCGGCAATTCTATTCTGAAGCTTATCACTTGTGAGTAGATAATAATAATAATTATTATTAGTAGTAGTAGTAGTATAGAGGAAATTCGTAGAGATTGAAGAATTCTCATAGTTTGCATCATCAATTTATCTACTGAGAAGTCCCATACTACGGCAAAACAGTCATCCACTCCTTTCAGTTTTCCAGTCATGATTTTGGCTAAGATCCTTTCATGATTTAAACCATGTAATATATTCATTTTCATGTAAATGAATAACTAACAGTTTTTAAAAGAAAAAACGATGATCACATTCATTTGATCTAAATATTTCTCAGACAAAAATGAAACGATTATGTGTATGTGTACTCTTACCAAATTTGTTTATGTGAAAATAAAGATTAATGTGAATTAATAAACACTGTAGAACTTGAATGAAGTCACACACACACACACACTTTATTTCTTCCCATAATTTAAACACTTTTCCCATTCACATTAATCTTACAAAGAGAGTATAAGTTTTGTTTGTTTGGAAAACAATTCAGTTAACTAATAACATAACACAATCATTACAATGCTTTCCACTATCGAGATGAGAAGTTCAATTTTGAAATGTGGAAGAGTGAAACAGAACAAAGGCGTCTAAACACAGAGAGTATTTATGACGTAATCAATCATAAAATTCTCAATTAATTTTTCTGGTTCTACACCTTTTATCCAAATGTGATATTGTTTCAATTGATCTTTATTTTCTCACACATTTTATATGTTTCCTTCAGATTTTCATTTCAGTTTATGCATGTGTTTTTTCTCTTTTCAATTTTAATCATTTAAAGAATAATGTAATAACAAACATAAATATGGTTTAACATAGTTTATAGTACTTCATGACGCCATGAAAATGGAGAGTAAAGCCGCTTGCGCCTTCGCGAAACGTCCCGCTTATAAGCACTGGGTTTCTTCTGGCTATTTACAACTCATCGAAGCCCGTCGGTCTACTCCGGATGACCGCGAGCTTGACCACAAACGAAAGCTGTTACGTAATGAAATCGGGCAAAGCATGCGTAAGGACAGATAAGCCTGGTGGTCGAAGCGTACTAATGAGCTGGAAGCAGCAGCTGCATCTGGTAACTACCGGAAGCTCTTCTAACTCATCCGAGCCACTGGCAGCAAGAAGTCTGGTGTGAGCGAAACAATCTGCGAGGATGGTGGGATGCCAATCACTAACATCCATCGACGTCTTGGACGATGGGCAGTTGGCAATCAGTGTTCGTAGGTGTGGTATGTGCTTTGCACCTTCCAAGTGCAAAGTACTTCTACAAGACTGGCAGGATTCTAATCCTGTGCTCACTCTGGATGGTGAACAGATAGAAGTAGTTGAGAAGTTCGTGTACCTGGGTAGCTGCATAAGTGCTGGTGGTGGCGTGAGTGGTGAAATCAATGCACGTATAGTGAAAGCCAGAGCGGTTTGTGCCAATCTGGGCCATCTTTGGCACCCTCGTGATGATAGTCTGGTTGTAAAAGGTCGGATCTACAACGCGTCGGTGATAACAGTTTTGCTCTATGCTTGTGAAACCTGGCCTCTCCGAGTTGAGGATATTAGACGACTCTCTGTGTTCGATCATCGTTGTCTCCAAAGGATTGCCGACATCCAGTGGCAACAACATATTAGTAATGCAGAGGTTCGGCGTCGTGTGTTCGGGCACAGAGACGATAATGCAATTGGTGTCACCATCTTAAAACATCGACTCCGGTGGCTTGGACATGTTCTACGAATGTCGCTCCCAGAGAATTCCACGTCGTGCATCATTTGCGGACGCCGGGACTGATTGAAAGAAGCGGAGAGGTGGTCAGTGTATGACATGGTGTCGCGGTATGAAAGAAAGCTGCAAAGGGCTGGCTTCTGTTGGTCCTTCACGACAACTTGGCTGGGGTCCGAGAGATGGTGCTACACAGTGGCTAGAGACGTTATTAGATATTGCTCAGAATAGGAGTCAGTGGCGATCCTGCTGTAATCTTCTTTTACTTTCTTCATAAAAAAATGGTTGTTTCTTCCTTAACTGAAAGATTTCTTCTGATTGTACCTTTCCGTTTCCCCCATTATTACTACACGACCTTACACTAATCTGTTCGTTATAGTTCTTTTTTCTGTTCGAATTCTCATTGTTTTGTGTGGCGCATTCTTGTACCAATATTTATGTGTTCAAATAAAAATAAATAAATAAATATTGTATTGTATATAACTGTATATTCAATGTTATTTTCATGCTTCATTGTTAATTCCTCATTTTTACCAGGTCATACACCCATATGTTGTTTATATTTTCTCATCAGACAAAAATGATAATATTAAAGTCTTATTTATTTAAACACATAAACATTGGTGCAAGGAGGCACCAAATAGATATGCGCCACATAAATCATTCGACTTGTGTGAGGGCTGAATTACTGCCCTAGCGCCCAAACCAAAGCAGGTGGTTTTCGTAGGAGGCCACACCTAGGGTCTTTGACCTAAAGGTTTAGTCCACAAGGCAGTGGAGCAACGTTAGGATATGCAGTCCCATTGTAGCCGGTGACTAACATCAGGTTCATACGCCATTTGTTCCCACAGGATCCTGGAGCCACTGTACACCATTGATTTGGAATCAGGGTTTCCCTACTTCCCTAAATGGATCCTCTCAATCTAACAACCCGGTTAAAAAGCTGGACATTCACTTTTCGTCCTCTCAGTTTTGTAAACAACACCCCCTCCACGAGAAGTCATTGAGTGGGACTTCTCTGGTAGTCGTTTTATGCACGTGGCCATTTGAGAGCATTTCGAGGAGAGCTGACTCTCCCCACTCTTGGCTGCGTCAGAGTATTTGTTCCTTAAATCGCTCTGATTTTCTTCTTGTTCTCTTCATTTCAACCTTCTGCTTCCAGGAATTCCACTTCCGACTGGTGCTACATACTGTTTATATCTTTCAGTATAAGTAGCATACATCGCAATAGCACAAAAAATTGATATAATTTTTCGTGTCCTCCAATAATTACCTGCAACAGTGAATACACTGATGTCTTAATGTCTAGATTTCAAGAGCATGTTAGTCAACATAAAAAGTATGAGATTAAACCGATAGATTATAAAATCTTTACTTTTTATAATGACATATATGTTGGATAAGTTTCAAAACTAAAAGATTTTTCTACACTATGTACTTATCATACTTCAAAGACAATGGATTGGTGATGCAAAATTTTAATGGCTGCATTATCCACTAATTTTCTATTATTTGGTAACGTTCCAAACTTGACGTAAAAATAAAACATTTCGTTATACAAAATAGTCAGTCACATGACCAACGACGTGAATTTTGTTTACGATTTCGAAATTATTCAATAGGACAACGAAATCACATTAACAATATGCTGGAATGATGTAACGGCGAGACTATAATTTATGGACGAACCAATAAGGTATAAGATAACAGGTCACGGATTTTGGAGCGAAATTCACTCATCTATTTGGCTAAATAGAGTTTTAACATTATAGCTGATATCAGTTCGTGATAAAAACCCTAAATCTAATTCCTAACCCTAACCATCAACCATAAATTCTAATTCTAATTCCTCACACTGGTTTATAACCCTCATTTGGTCCTAGTTATTAGGTAGACACTCTCAAAGTCACTTTTAACATCGCTCAAAGACTATATTTTTCATGCAAAACATTTCTAAATTTTGTAAAGAGTAGCTTGCACTAGATAATAGTTAGCTGTAAAGATTAGGACGTATCACTGGCGAAGTCTACCACTCTTGAATATAGACGGAATGGTAGACACAAGACAGAAAAATATCAAAATTAAAGTGTGATTAGTGAATTCACCACGTGATATGGATTAGTGTCTTAAATTTTAACACAGAAATATTTTGATTTCAATGTCCAAATAAATTTGACAAACCGGAAAATAAATCATATGACTAAAACAATCTAAACATAGTAATGAAATGT